GATGTAGGATCACATTTTGACTCATAAGCCCACCAAATCGCTTCCAAGTTCTTGGAACGCGATCTTCACATTTGTACTGAAAATTTTGATACATGAAATTCAAAGTTTGACCTGATATTTACATAGTTCAGCTTGGGAAAATTTTGCCCAGGCGTTCAAATATTTAAAATTTGGAAAAATGCCCTTTTTCATAGTAAAACGTACAATTTTGGAAAGTTCAAAAACAGGGAATTTGTGTATGTGTGTGTGAGCTATGACAAGAGAGGAGAGGCAATTTGTTTTTTGAATTTTATTTTCCGGCATCAGCTGATCGCGCCGGGCGCCGCTCGGTCTCGGCCCGACTCCGCCGCCGCGCTCTGCATGACTCACTCCTTCCTTCGCGTGAAACAAACAGCTGTTCATTTTTAAAAAAAAAAAAACTTAAAACGGAGAATTTGATTCTTCGTTACACCCCCCTCCCCCCAAATTTACCATATCTGCTCCGGACTAATGTTGGAAATCGAGTGACACCAGGCGGGAATCAGACCTACCCACTTAATAAATATTATGAGTTATCAAAAATTCGAGCCAATTTGAAGTATTTATTGAACCCTTCCACTGTAGAGCGGCTCCTTCTCCTTTGAAGGTCATCGCTGCCAACACTTTGCAGAACAGTCACCACTTTCAAGCTTCACTGTGATACTTCGTCCATCCCCCACATTTTGATCAACCTAAATTCTGAACAGATTATCAACGGAACGGACATTCATTTGATACTGTTTTTGCGCTTTATGCCAATCAAAAAGTATAGCGGCACCTCTTCATTTTGATCGTTAACAGTGGCGTGGCGTCAATTGTGATGTATCGATTGTTATGTCATTTAAACCTATGGTAAAAAATCGATTATTAAGGTGTTCGCTGCGAACACCCTGTTTATCGATCCTTTTCCATAGGTTTGAATGACATAGCAATCGATATATCGCAAAGCATGCCACGCCACTGATCGGCAACGTTAAACAATTGCATCGATATTTCATTTCGATGGACGAATTCTGATTGTGCGCAAGCTAGACATAAAACTAGTGTAAGGACTCGTTTACGGTTACCTTAATTTCAAAACGAGCCTTAACTCCAAAAAAATCAGAGCTGGAAAAATGAAAAATTTCAGTTTTTGGATGACACGATTCATCTATAACTTAACACTGAGAATTAATTATTTTTTCTTTCATTGTATCTGCAGCAATACACTGGCAACGTCATAACAAACTGCCCCAACCAGCGCGGTAATCATGGTGTCGTCATCGTGGGATATGGAGAAGGTAAAGTTCTCCTCTATTTTGACTTGTATTCTCATTGAACCGAATAAGAGAGACGTAATGGGCCCCTTGTTTTACTTTTCCTCCCGAATCTAAGCAACTCCTCATTGCTTGCATAGAACGGAGAATTGTTAGTTCACGCTTCGCGCCACGGCGCGGCGCCTTCAATTTTGTAGACGCAACACGGCCATCCATCAAACACGAATAGTTGAATCTCTGCGCCGTCATCATTGCGCGGTAAATTGTCTCTATTTTTTTTTAAATTTAAGTAAAATTAGGGTGCAGTTTGCTCAAAATATACCACGATGTGTGCAATTCAATAATAATTTTATGAAAAATTAAATAAAATCTTCAAATGCCTCTTAAGCGCCCTGACAGACGCATGTCCATAAATTGGTATTTTGGCGACAATTGTGTAGTGTCATGGAATGTTTTTTTGGACGACCGCCCCTAACAATCCCAAACAAGGTAAAATTGACCCGACTATCCCTTCTGAAGAAGTTTCATATGGCGGACAAGGCGAGCGCGAGGGGTTGAGGAAGTGCCAGACCGACGCCGCCGATTTGTTACCGAAAGGCTGATTTTAAAAAAAAAATGTGTATTTTTTTACTTTCAAAATCACAGAAATAACATAGATGATACCTACTTCAAAAAATATCTAAATCAATGGATTTGGACATCTTTAAACTTAGCCTGACTGGGAACTTTGCGAAAAAAAGTCTTGATCAAGGGCTGAACAACATTTGAATGTTGCAAAATATTCCGTTTTTCTGGGAGACCGGTGCATTTTTTCCTCTTATATTTTAAGAGAAGCTCGAGTATACGTAAAGTGCTTAACTTTACTCAAGAATAAATAGCTTATCAGGAAAAAATTGTCAACAACCATTGTCAGTTGTTAACATTCGTTCAAACGGCGGTTTTTCGTCACACGGCAATCTGTGTTAACTGTGTAAACTGCGTCGCTTTGACTCGTATTATGTGTTTTTTTTCTCGCATGGCGCACGACTTAAGATACTTCCCTCATTTGATAGGCTACACAAATGTTATGCGTATAAATCTCATGTGAGTGCTCTATCATTGTACGATGAGCCCCATTTTTCAATATTTAAACAAGCTGCGCAGTCACTGAAACTCTACCATCAGGCAATAAGTTAACATAAAAAAGACAAATATTCACTTTTCCCGTATGACATATGCGGATGGAATTTGACGAAGCAGTGAACACTCATGTTTGCCTTCCGATAAAAATACACATTTGAATTTGAAAAATTACATGCGCGTCCGTCACAGTGATGAATTTCACATTCAAATATTGAATCGTAAAAACCCAGTTTTATCAGTTTTATCCTATTTTTAAAAGACATCAAGTTTTTGTGGAAATGATTAATATCCTTCGGGGCGAAAAATAGCGATTGCGTCGCAGTAAACATGTCGCATAAATTTTCATTCATGATACCTAAATATGAACTAATAAAATACCACGCCAACACGAAAAATGTCACTTAGGAATAATTGGATCGCACCAATGGCAATGTCATTAGTGATGCGGCTCTCACTATAATATTGTTTTATTTTTTCGCGCATGTAAATTGTATTATTTTCCCAAATATTTGCGTACACGGTTTCATCACGAGAAATTCATAAAGCTTACTTTTGAACTTTAAAAGCTGCAACGTTTCTTTTAAATTGTGTTACAGAAGAAGGGGTTCCTTACTATTTGGTACGCAATAGCTGGGGGAGTAATTACGGTATTCTAGTAAGTGTTGTTTTTCCTTTCCTCTTTAATTTTTTAAACGTATTTATTCAAATAATTCAAAACTGTTACAAATACAATGTGACTTAATCTATTTGTTAAAAATTTGCATTTTTAAATTTGTGAAAGAAAAAGATGTATCGTTGGAGAAATTATATGCCTGGAGTAATCAGGCATAGTAAATTCTCAGTCATTTCATTGAAATCACGCCTTATTATTTGGTGCAAAAAAGCCGAAAGAGTGTATTAAACATACTCATAGGTGAGAACTCAGCTGAACATTAACTTTAAGGCATCACAAATACAATGTGAGCTCTTGAGAAGGATATTCTGATAAGGCCATGCAACTATTGACAACAGAGGTGCAGATACGTTGAATCAATTGGACTACATTTTTCAAGTAAGAACTATCATATTTCTGGCTCATTTTAGAGGCAACACATTTTGCTGTCAGTTATTCCACGTGCAAATAGATATTTTTCAATGAGCTGGGAATAGTAGTTTCCTATTGCAACATCGAAATCAATTGACAACAGTACTCTGACATCTATAACAAATTCAGCGTTGATGTCAACAATTTTAGTGATTCATGCCGAGTTAAGAGGTCGTGTCCTTAATTATACGGAGATACATTTTTCAGAACGCTCATTTGAAACGTCCTGTTAAAAAGTTATCGGATTCCTAGTTGAGGCAATCAGAATTCCTGTTGCCTCAATGATAAGGAACGTGTGATTAGGAAATTATGAACACATTTTTTTTTCTCCCTTTTCCAGCTTTATAGCTTTCAAAATATTAGTTTGAAATGTCACCGGGAGCCTTCTCATGTATGTCTAAAGGACGCCTAAAATGAGGAAAAGAGGCAAGAGAATGTTTGTATTGCTACTGAATACATGAATATGCATGAATATTCAGCAAATACATTTGCTGAATACATCTTTTAAATTGGGTGTCATTATTTTTTTTATTTTTATTTTTTTTTTTTTTTTCAGAATGGTCATGCAAAAATCAAAAGAGGAACATGTGCAACCCATGAAGCCGTCTACAAGTTGACAATGAAAATTAAAGGTGAGGGTTGCTGTGGGTGAATGAGGACCAATAAATAATGTTTGCATCGATAAAAACAAGAGATGTATTAAATTTAGTTACAAAGCACAGCATACGTATGGAATATAGCAGTGCAAAATCTTTAAAATATCCTGTAAGTGGTGAAAATGAATTAACTCAATAGGAACCTTAAATAATGCAAAACATACGTATTTTTTTCGTGATTAAACTAATTTTTCTATACTCCAGCACAAAAAAGTTCCTTTTATTTTGTAATCATCATGTTCTACGTGAGAAAGGTATAGTATATGATAGAGACCCCACACTGTTATCTTCCCTTCATAATGTAAAATGCCTCATGATGACTCATAACTAAAAGTTGAGTAATGTGTTTGGCAATCCTAACCTAATTCGAAAAAAGTCGGCTAGTAAAGTGTTCACCCCGAAATGCATCAGTTTTTTCACGCGAATTGCATTCGACTTTTTTCTCTGCAGTTTGTAATGCATCAACCACCATTTGGCCAAAAAGTAGTGTTGACTTGTGAATTTAACCTTTGCGTCACTCAATTGCATTGCTTTGATTGTTAAAGCGGGGTCTCTAACATAAAAATCCCCTTCACTCAGCGCACCTAAGCGAAGCAACTATTCGAACGCCCGCGCGTGGCTTAGTATCAATTGAAATTGAAGGCGAACTTACCGCGCTAACTCACTATGCAATGCCTGCAACGGCTTAAGTCAATAGATTTAAAGGGACGACTATGGAAACAAATGCTCCCTTTACTCAGCGCACATAAGCGCGAAGTGACTATTCGACCACCCGTGCGAGACAAAGAATCAATCGAGATCGAGGGCAAAACTACCTCGTCCTATAACGGTTTAAGTTACTGAATTAAAAGGAACAACGAACAACTATGAAAATAAATGAATCAGTGAGAACGAAAACACACCAACTCGGTAACTTTAAATGCTCACTTTTCACTAAGGACAGACAAATTTCATAAAGGTCATTGAAGTTACCGTATCTATTCCAACTTGGACATTTAAAGTGTCCTTAAGTACTTGCTTTTAGGCACCAAAAATCTGTTTCTTAGACTGACTTCTTCACCTACTATGCAGTTCTGTGTGTGTCTCAATTATTTTCATTTTTTCGAGTTGGTGTGTTTTCGTTCTTACTGATTCAAATGTCCCCTTCACTCAACGCGCAGGAATGAGAAGCAACTATTCGAACACTCGGGCGTGGCACGGTATATCAATCGAAATTGAAGGCGAACTTACAGCGCCAACTCACTATGCAATTCCTGTAATACTTCCAGTCGCTGACTTTAGAGGAACGACTATGAAAGTGAACGATCCTCTTATTTGTAAAAAAAAATACTTCGTCTCCGAACGTGACGCGCTGATGAGTGCCTTTAATTTCTCACTCTTTCTGATGGTCAATTTTAATCACATCCACCGATATTTCTCATAAAAAGTCAGTTAAAATGCCACCTCCCGTAGGACTGGTACCATGATTTATCTCTCAGTCCTCAAGCACACCCCTGCCTTACGTGAACTCCACTATCGACGAGGAAAAAAATTAGACCCACCCTCCCTCCTTCCCCCTCCCTCCCACCCACGTTCTCCCGCACTTTCATCACGACGACAAAGGGAGAATAATGGTGCGATTGTGTATTCAGCATACGTTTCTCGTAAAACGGGGAGACACCTGCGACTCCACCTTAATTATAAAATTGGAGAGCAAAAGTATTCTTGCGTTATTAAATAGACGCCATTAATTTATCATTAGGAAGCAACGCTTGCCGGATCAATCTCGAAATCGCGTCGATTCTGAGCCGGCCGCCGCCGTGGTGAGGAGGAACGCCAAACGAGCCCTCGAACGATGCCAAATTTCCTCGACATATGAGGACTTATCTGTAACAATAGCGGATGTGGAAAATTACCTTTTCGAAACACGCTTAAAAAACTGTTTTGTTCACACAAAAATTTAATATGTTTGACTCTGGCATAATGTACAGATCTCGAAGATCACATCTCGGTTATTTTTTCAAAATTTTCTGCCAAAACAGTTTTTTTTTAATGTGTTTCGAAAAGGTAATTTTTCACACCCGCTATTGTTACAGATAAGTCCTCATATAGCTAATTTAAGCGAAATGTACTCCGTTTAGTAGAGAATCAGGATTGATAGTGATGAAGGGGTCAAGTATCGATAGATACCGGAAGAAAGGTTCTTTTTATACCTCGAGCAATTCGGTCATCAAGATCGATGAATATAAGTAATCGATTTATTACTTTTCTTAGATACTGTGTGTTACTTGCTATTTTTTCTAGCCAAGAAATACTAACCTTATATTAAAATCAAATATGGTCATTATATTAAATTTATTTTGAAGAATTAAGTAGTTTCACTGTTGATTTTTTTTCTCCATAACATCACTCCTCTAATGTAAGGACGTATCTTAATTTCCAGGTGATCCCTGTTTTACATAAAAATTCATGCTTTCTGAGGCTCATGCGAAAATCAAGGTACGCTCTTACCTCGGAGGGGCAACGATATCCCCTCACCTACCGGCCGAAGTATCACAAGCGCCATGCGACGTTTCAAAATTTCCGCCGTCATTCTATTTTTTTTTTTCACAGAGAAATTGTCGGTTGAATCTGTTTCAAAATTTCAATGAATTTTCTTCGTACTGCCGATAAAATTCAGTGAAATTTTCAAAAAATTCAACCTTCAAATTCTTTGTAAAAAAATAAAATGGCCGTGGAAATTTTGAATCGCCAAACGGCACTTGTGATAATTTATCCGGAAGGTGACGATCTGGTACGCTTCCTAGATTCAACTAAAGAGAATCATTTTCTGTGAATTTTGAAAAAGATACTACCACTAAATCTGCCGTGCTAAGCAAGAACGCCGTAAATCCATCAAGATTTTCCCGCATTTTTTGGAACTTAACACTATAAAATGAAACCTGTTTTACCCATGTACCTCAAATTTTCAAGTTAAGTTCTTGATAGTATTTGCGAAAGAAATCTGTGAAAACATTTTCCCAAGGCACAAAAGTTTTTCTGCTATGATACATTGTTTAAAAAACAATTAAAATGGCGTTTACGGCGTTCTTGCGTTGCACGGCAGAATAATTCGCTGCTCTCATAGCGCTCTTGTGCGCTATGCGACACCCGACCGCCATCTCCTCATTACCTGCCTCATTCCCTCAATCCACAATTTGGCAGGGCGTCCTCTACTTTTTCTGCTAGGGGGGACCCAATCAGAACCTTCTTCGGCAACCTATCATCCAGCATCATTTGCACGAAAAAGATAATTTTTTCAAAAATTCATATTTATCGAGAGAAGTTTGGCAACGTCCGCGCATATATTCGGCCTTTTTCCGCGGGGCAGCTCGGGATCAGGAAATTTGGCTGCTGAGGTCGGTGTCTCGCCCGGAGGCGCGAGGAGCCAAGTATCAGGTGGTTTCCGGAGGATTCTCCAAGGAAATCAAACGTGCGTAAAATATTTATCAGGATCGAGATTTTTTGCCCGCGCTCGCGGTGATGCTGCAATTCCTTGTTCCCTCCCGCATGTAACTCCCATGGAATACAGCCGTAAGTCCGCTCCAGCGTGACCCTCGAGCCCCTTGAAGACACGTGTCGAGCGGGGCTTGAGGTGGGATGCGCATACTGCTGTACTCCGTTGCAAGGGGCAGTGCTCCGGGGAGGTCACTGAGGTTTGTTTAATTAAGGTTGATACGTCAAGTCTGCTGCAGCGGTCGCCGTGTTCGGACGAGGTTGTATCCCTGGGCACAGTTTTCGGTCCCGCTTTACTGCGCAGCGTTTTGTGTTCTCGGCTTCCCGCTATTGCTTATCTTGCTTCGATGCATTTCGAAAAAAATATGTTTTACTCTATGTCACTTTACATTACGGTAATTTGAAATGTAGTGCCGGGTGAACGCCTGAATCAGTGTTCGAAACTTGCCTTTAAGTTTAGGAGCTATGTGGCCCATCAAGCTCGATTCTTAGGGGCCATTGAAGATTTTTTAGGGGCCAAATTGACTTTTTGCCTATACATCAAGGCGCATTTAGTGAAAAGTTATGGACACAAAATATTGTAGGTGCAGAAATAGTAGCTATAACTTGAGGAGGAGAAAGGCTCCAAAAATCACCAAACAGAACAATTAGGATTTTTTGGGGGAATGGGAGATTTTTAGGGGCCACGATAGTGGAGAGTCTTCAGTATTCAGGCGCCATGACCGATTTCTCGGGCTTATTTGGCGCGTTGGCGCCTGTGAGTTTCGAACACTGGCCTGCGTGGAGTTTTGTGCACTGAGAAAAAAACTTCAGTCATGTGAACCAAACACTGAAAAAAAAGTGAAGTTGCGATTTAACATGCTGGATGTAAAAAAAGTGTGCGGGAATTTATAAAATGCTGATTATCCGCTGCATCAGTTACTTTGGCGATGCCAAGATGTAAAACTAATTGCTGGTGCGGGTAATTCAGAATTTTAAAAGTTCTCACATACTTTTTTTCACATCCAGAATCTTAAATACACTTCACTATTATGCCGGGGAACGCACGGTGTTCAATATCGGCCGTATTGTTCAGTTCATGTAGGCGCTCTTTCGGTTCTGGTAACCATATCTTCGGTTAATGCAACCGAGCATTCAAACCGAACAGAACTTACGAAAAAGCTCGGTTGCATAAACCGAGGGTACGGTTCCCAGAACCGAGAAAGCGGTCGCATGAACCGAACAATAAGGCCAATATTGGACATTGTATGTACATTGACCGAACTTTTTTTCTCATTGTAAGGTTGCACTGAAAAAAAATAGACCCAAAAAAGTCGCCTTCTTATTCTTCCTTTTATTCAAAGACTTCAGTTGCAACCAAGACCATGCGAATCTAAAATAAAGAAATCGTTGCTTTCAATCAATGAGTTTATTTTTTAATGCGTGCTTCATTGCTATGGAGGCAGTAATACTTTCTCATACTGAGTATTTGATTGACTCCTCGCTTGAATTCTTGTTGAGAATCATGTGGTTTTAACTCGGAACAAATTAAATGTGAGGGGAAGCGGATATGATATTTTTCGAATGCTCTGTCCAGCTTTTCAAAACTTGAAAGGCGTCTTTGACAAAGAAACCATAAAAGAAAGGGGGAAAGGATCTCGATGCAATTCCGCGAATATTCAAATGAGCCATCAGCTACTCGTTGTTTATTTGTAAACTTCGAGGGAACTTTAAAACAAGACCGAAAACAAAAAGAGCTCGCTTTGAGAACAGCCAGCCATAAAAATCAAGTTTTAATTTTTTTCCGCCCCCGCCTTTGACTCAAAAGAACAATCCCTAATTAAATATAGAAGTTCCAGGAGACAAGGGACTCGGTGCGGTTTCCAGTCGCGGAATAAATTCCGCGCCGTCTTTCTCCCTTGCTGCAGAAAAACG